ATTTTACTGTTCATTACAATTTTTAATTCTAAATAAACCCTTGTTTTTGACATTTCTAAATTATTTTAATTATTTCAACTATTAGCATTGGAAGTTTCAAAGCCAAATATCTCGGAAACGGTGCGAGACAGCTACTTTCATAAAGTCTACCTTTTTTGTGTAAAAATAGTTGGAAAATAAGAATTTGTAACCAAAGATGAGATACCTTAAAGCACAAAAAAGTTATGTCGTTTTTAACACATTCAATCTACTGCAGCTAGCGCCCTCTATGAACTTTAACCAAAATGTGAACAGATTTCAATTCCTCTACTCAACGAACTCCAATCCCCAAAATTTTGTGAGGATATTTGCATTTGTTAAGGAATAAATTAAAAAAAACTGAAATAATATTTTACATTTAACACCCTGTATCTCTTTAACTATCAACTTTTGGACTAAGGTAAGTTCGGCTAAATCGCAATATTTTTACTTGGGGAATCTACCCATGAATTTTGGCCCATTACGTCGCGACCACCCTGTATAGCCTCACTATTTAATATAATTTTGAGGCTTTTTAATGAAACATGTTCGACAAAAATGTAATGCTATTAAATAATGGTTATTGACATTGTCGTACATAATAAGGGACTTCCTTTATTTATTTTATACAGAATTGCATTGTCCTTGTTTCTTGATTGATTGGATACAACGGCTTTAGGATTTGTCACATTTCTACATTTTTTTTAACTTTCAAGTTATTTTTCTAGTGTATCCCGTCTTTTTCCATGTACGCCAAAAATAAATTCGTCGTCGTACATACGATGAATTCTCTGCACTAACCAGAGCATTACAAATATTATCATAAATGTTAAAGTGGATGTTCCAAAGAGGCCACTCGAATCGTATCTAATTCCGCGAACATGAAACATAATGGGACGAGCTGTTTTACGGCTTATCTGCACAATAACGAGGCATGTGTTTGGCAAGAATCCATTCGCTGTATAGCCCACACATCGTCGGCCGGCGATATCTGCTAGGAGCAACAACCGTCCCGGCGGAGGCGACGCGGCGGCGCTGAGGCACCGCTGCGGCCCACTGGACACACTTCTCCAGTCTCCACCAGCACCTTAATAGCACAGGCCGACAAAATTTTACGAAAGTCCAGAACCAGAGACCGGATCTAGTGTACCCGAAGGATTTTGGTGCGCTGATTATGAATCTGACCTCAGAATTGGCCCATCACCCTAGGTTCTCGAGATACTTTAACCTAAAAGTGTAAAAATAGATTGAAGTTCTGAACTTCTAGTAGGTTCAGCGCTCGCAGGTTACTGCGGGCGCTTTAGGTTAACCTGTCGTGGGTTTAACCCTCGCTGGTTATTGCACATTTAGGTTAACGTGTCAGCGCACCAAAATCCTTCGGGTACACTAGGTCCGGTTTCTGGTTCTGAAAATTGTCGGCCTGTGTAATTGTACACCAGTATTTTACCCAAATACGTGCATAAGGTATACAGAGCCGTCCAATGACTCAATCTTACTTAGTTCGACACGTATACATATAATTTTCACGTTTTTATCACTATCAGATCTAACTGTAAATCCGCGACACACATATACAAAAAGAGTCAAGAATATAAAACATAAAAGTTTAAATAAACATAACTGGTAACGGATCTCGAAATATTTAGATTTATGACCAATTGGAATATGAATGTTTTTCGAAGGTTATTTTTTTTCTAAACGTAACACCATCTTGATTTTATTTAATTTATTATTGGTTTCGTATATGTAAATAACAAAGCTTAATATGTAAAATGTAAATACGTTAAAAAAAAGAGTTTGGGTTAACCCTATTTGTATAGTCTTTCCGAAGTCAGTTGAACATGTATAAAAACGCCTGGCAAAAAAATTTAATGAGTTTCATAGACGTCCCTAACAAAGTTTTCTGCTAAAGGTAAAAAATTATATAATTTGTATATAATGAGAATTTCTATTATATGTTCATTTGGCCAACATCATATTTTAACTATTTATGTCCTCAAACAATTTTGTTATTTCGTTTTGCTCCGTTTCAAAAGGTCTCCAAAATGTCATGTGGTAATCATATTAGTAAACAAAATATCCCTCTTATTTCTCCCTTTCGCAATTGTAATACCAATGATTAATAGGTGTATATAATAAATTAAAATTACCTGAATCACAGCAAATCCCGCATTGCTGCACTGCACTGATAGGCCATTTGTCAACCACTTGTTACCAACTGAGATTTATTGCCCAGTCGCCCAGTATAGCTGTTTGGCCGTACTGTGATCAAGAATTGGACATTTCGGGAACTCCCTACAGTGTATTCTCACGAAAATTTTGCATCTCTTCAAGCTTACAAAGTTCAACTGACTGAAGAACTAAAGCCTACTGAAACGCAGAGCGAAATTTCAATAGAATGGATTATTTTCATTTTGACGACTTCATTAATAGACAAAATTGTCGCATTTGAGGTTCAGAAAATCCACGAGTGATTGTTGAGAATCAAATGCTGTTAGGCGCAGATTTTGGGCTAGGGTCATCAACAGACTATTCTTCCTCAAAAATGCAGCTGGTCAGACAATAAGAATTAATGGCGCTCGCTACGACCACCCACGTCTTGAAGGAACAAATTGGGCGCTGTATCAATGAAATTCAGCCGCGTTTATACAAAGCGGTCATGCAAAATTTCGACAGAAGAGTGAGTATGTGCCAGCAATGTCATGGAGGTCATTTACCCAATGTGCTATTCCATCCCTGTACTTTATACTTAATAATAAAAAAATTACAATTTTTAATTAAAAACCTATGTTTTCTATCAAAATTACTTCTTGTGTGAATTTTGGGACACCATTAATAAGAATTTGAAATAATATACTTTTGTATCATTAAGTGATAACTAAGTGCCATGGACATTTAATCAACAACAATTATTAGTTGTATGGCCGTATGGTCAGACATAACACAACTCCCACAATAAAATAATTTTAATAAATAGGAATAATGTTGTAGCTATATAGTAGGTAATTGTATCCATTCTGTCTACATCAGAATATAGGTGGTGCAAGCAATAAAATAAATAATTCTACTAATTGTAAGGGCTAATGGATTGCTGAACCTGTTTTGCATACCGCTGTGGCAAGAGTAAAATAATGGATGCAATATTGCTTATTTAGTACGTAAACTGAAACGACCCATCCATTATCTCGGAGCCCAACAAAGGTAGTTACACTAGTAAACAATTAAAGACCAAAGCAAATTTGCATTCCTCTTGCTTCTAGTTACATGGAAGGTCAGTAGAAATATAGAGTGTCCTAAAATATACTTTTACAAAATTTAAAATCTTATTGAAATTCTTTCCTTCGTTAATAAATTCTACAAGTCTTCGAGATACATTATCCCTCAAATCCTAGGGAATGTGACTTTCTCAATATAAGACTTATTGGCTTTGTTCTTAGTACATTAGAAACAGTTTCAATCGAACGCATTTGATTTGAAACAATGAATTTTGAACTTTATGTAAGCATTATATCGGATTGCGCATGCGTATGACTGTTAGAAACTGTTTTGGACTGTCCTAAGAACAAACCTACTATTTGTTATTTATGGCTAGTTAGGAGAATATCTATTAATTTATATTTAGATTAATTTTGTGTTAGCCTTTTCATTTCATATTCAGCAGACTATTCTAAAATTCATTATTTCCAGGTCCGGTGACAGTGCCAATGGTGTCGACGAATTCGTCGCCTCCCATAGCAATGCCAGTGCAGGTTCCTCCAGGTCACGTAGTTCAACAAATAGTAGACGAAAGTGGGACGTTACGCCACGTCATCCTGTCAACTCAACACCCTCCAAATCTAGTACCGCTTCCATCGCACAATCCCCAGCACTACGTAAGTACATGTGTCTATTCATATCACCGAAGATTTCTTAAGAGATGACTGGGAATATTGTTACAGTGTTCAGACATCTGTATTTCACGGCGCTTACGTTCATACAGTTAATTGAAGTATAAGCAGTGTCAATACATTCATGAGCAACCCTGTTATTGGAATAATAAGAATTACGTTGTTTTGACGAACTGACAAAGCTGAGTGTGTAGGCGCATTGTCATGGTGCAAGAACCATGAGTTGTCTCGCCACAACTGTGGTCTCTTTTTGCGGATTTTTTCACGTAACTGTTGTAAAGTGCCTTGACAGTAAACACGGTTCACTGTTTCACCTTGAGGCGAGAATTCAAAATGTACAATTCCATTACAGTCGAAAAAACAGTGGCATCAGTTTCATTGGATCGAGACTGACGTGCTTTCTTGGGGCATGGAGATCCTTTGCCAATCCATTAGGATGACTGAACTTTTGTCTCAATGTCTCAGCTCGTCTCTCGTAATGATCCTTTGAATAAATGTTTCATCTTTCATCGTCACTGGATCGTTCAAGGAGTCGCCGAGAAACGTGCACATGATTTTCTTTCAAATTCAATTTCAATTTTTCAGTCAAAATTTCATGGCTTGACCCAATCCTAATCTCTTTCTCTGACAGTCAATCGGCGATTTGTACGCACCAAATCTTTGAATTGGAAGTCATCAGTTAAAGTCGAAGGCTTTCCTGGTCGAGGATCATCTTCAATTGACTGGCCACTTTTAAATCGTGAAAACCATTCGCAATATTGCGTACAACCCACAACATCATCTCTAGGTCAATCAATAGAGCAAAAAAAAGTCATATCTTGAGAAAAATACTAACCTGCTACTAACCCAGCATACCACCAGTGCCATCATTTAAAAGACAGTCCGTAGATATACTCTGATGTGTTTCGACTTGCAACTCTCATTAATTAATTAATATTAACATTTTAGTGCAAAAAACACGTTTTTATTAGTTTGTTGCTTATAAAACCAAAACTACTAGAGCAATCTCAATTCCGTAAATGCAAAAGTTGTAGGAAATTAAATTTCGAAGAAAATGAGAGCGATACGATTAGAACCGGAGAAAATTCCGAAAAAGCCGGAAAAACCGGAAAATTCACAATTTTTTTCAAAAATTCATACCTTTGTCATTTATGAAGATTAAGAACTGAAATTTGGCACAGAAATAGATAATTATATCAACTTCAAGTGTCCCCTCATTTAGTATTTATTTTATAGTATTTTACTTCTAGTTACACACTTGAAGTTTATTTAATTATCTACTTCTATGCCAAATTTCAGCTCTTAATCTTCATAAATGACAAGGTTATGATTTTTTTTTAAATGCCGAATTTTCTGGATTTTCTCCGGTTCTAATCAACCGATCGGATCGCTCGACCTCTCATTTTCTTCGAAATTTAATTTCCTACAACTTTTCCATTTACGGAATTGAGACTGCTCTAGTATTTTTGGTTTTATAAACAAAAAACAAAAAAAAACGCGTTTTTGCACTAAAATGTTAATAACAAATTAATTTATAAGTGTTGAAAAGCGAGTCGAGTCGAAAACACATCAGAGTATACCTACGGACTGTCTTTTAAATGATGGCACAGGTGGTATGCTGTTAGCATTTTTGTCACACCAAAAAACCTATATTGGCCTACTCCGTAAGCTTGTTACGTTCAAAAGTTTTCGTGAAAGTTTCACTCAACATTTTACGTTGCATCGTTGTTCTAGAAAATTTCAAATTTCAAAAATCATCAGTAACATTTAAACACGTTGCACTCAAATAACAATATCACGAAAACTAAATGAGATCCAAGAACATGTGGTTAGGTTAGAGGTTATATGCAACACAATGCTGCCAACCCCATATCACTAAATATCTCCATTAGCGAATAATCCAGAAACTTCGATTATTTTCTGACCAGATATTATTCCAAACTTTCACTAACACTTCTATTAAATCAAAATGTATTCTTCGATAGAATTAATCATACTTTCAAATCCAACAGACTCATTTGTTTATTTTTCAGTATGAAATTTATTATCATAGTCGTAGTGCGACTACCTCAAAATAAATCGTTAAATGCATTATCAAAATTGAAGCTGAAAAATATCTAAGATATTTTTGTTACTCGGAAAAACTGCTGTCAAGCTGAATGAATTGTTCTCTTCGAAGCTCTCAAGTATCTAGCAGGAAATGAAATAAATAACCCCATTTTAAACTCACTATCGCGGAAGTTGTAGAAATCGGGCCAGTAAATGAACTCATAAGAAAATAAATGTTACGTACGTTAATTTAGTACTGACCCGTATTTCGTATTTTGTGGTGGTACTTTTTCTCGAACAACAGTTCTGTTTTATTGTCCATTTAACTAATTTGATGAGGGAAATACGAGGAGAAATTCTACCGTAAAATAGGTTAGCTAAATATTTTCCAATAATATAAATGTGTAGATAGTAATGTAATTCGTATTTCTAAATTTGAAGTATTTTTTAAACTTCGAACTTATGTGATATAAAAATACATAAATGCTTCAAGTCTAAGAACAATGCAGTTTTGTCATTCTATTTCTGTACCGAACGAAAGTAAACAAATAATATATCTTGACCGACATAGTATTTGTTTTGATCAACTTGTTTCGAGAAGATGAATTTCATCATTCATCTTATTTTCATTACAAATGACGATGTTTCCCTATTTTTATCATAAAAACACTTTCTAAGCACAAACGTTGGAAAACTACTTTCTCTCAAACTTGAATATGAATAACTAAATACTATATCGTCATTATTTTTGGAACTGTATTTTAAATAGAAACGACTGTTGTTGCAAGTTATGGCTGCCAAATTTGTGATTCCCTGAATGACCCCGACATTAACATGTCGGATAAAACAATATAATAAAACTTGAGATATTTGGGAGAATTTTTGATATTCACATTTACGTACGGTGAGAATTCCAAGAAGTTATTTCGAAATTGCTGTGATACCGGTTATTTCTAGTTGAGTCGTTCTTATATGTATATAATTTAGATATATAAACAAATCCATGCTACAAGATCGACGAGTGTTTTGGTCGTTCGACGAATAATCGAAAAAAAATAATTGAAGGAAAATCCTGAATTTACAGTTACCATTTAGAATGTCGATTTGCTAGAAAAAATATAGATGATTAACGATTACAGTTTTGTTTTTTTTTGAGAATTAATGATACATTGCGGTTATTGAATTGAATTTGCCAAAAACAGTAAAATAAAATGATATATATGTTCGCTAATTGTTATTGTATTTAAATATTGTTCCCAGATTATCTGTAGGTATGTTGTTGACATTTAATATGAACGTTCGACTAAAAAAAACTGATACATCTGAAAACCAAAGTTGTACCTAAAAATATGTTCAATCAGTGTCTTGTTTTTACGTCCTATCTATGTATTTTCAACAGCTGACTTAAATTTAATCAAAATTTAATGATTCCTTAGTAAAATATGTTCCTTACCTCATAAGCTGATATTAAAGGTCTAGTCAATTTGTATTAAAAATAAATACATGGTGTCCCACTAAGGTCGGCGAGGTACGATATTAGGGAAGTATATGCCCTAAAACTTAGGAAAACAAATTTGATCAATAAATAAACCAAGAGAAATCGCTGGAAATCTACATTCCAACCCACGCAAATAGTGTCAATTGCAATCTTGAAAATAATAAAAACAATAACAAACAGATATTTATATTATGTAACGAAAGAACAATTAAATTTTAACAAAAGTATGTTTATAAATGCTCGAAATGCATACCATTATTTTCAATACACGAATTTAACCTTCGCTGCGTGCTTAGGTAGGTTCTTTTATAAAAATTTTGTTTCGGTAGGTAATTGAATGTCTTTTCGTTAGCGTCGTGTCCTCAATTCATTATCATTATTTGTTTTTTGCTCACCAATTTGCGAATTACCTACTTGATAACAAAAAATAAATCAAACTCTTTTTGGCGTCAAAATGTAGCTATTTTTATGCTCCTCAAACTGACCTATAAAAACATGTATCCTGCTATTTCGCTTTTTTAAGAAAATGTGAAACAACCTAAACTTGGATAAATAGCGCCAATAAATAAACAACACTTTCGTTAGACATTTCAAACTTATACTATATTCATCAATTTTATGTGCTGAATTCATTTATGTAAGGAAAACTATACAGGGTGTTTGGTAAGTCGATGCATCGACTTATGAAACCGAATTACGCCATGCAATAATTCGAGTTTATTTTTTTTACTCGAAAACGGTGCGTCATAAAAAAACAGTCAAGATACCTTTTCTCTTCCAAATTGAACAAGGAATTCAAAAATAATTTTTATTTTAAGAATAATCAGTGGTGTATAATGTTTTTCTTCAACAATATTTAGGGACGTGCCTGTGCGCACGCCACTGGTGAAACTGAAAACAACATTTTTATCGTAAAACATGTATTGTTGTTAACTGCCAAAGCCTGTAAAATTTCATTAAAATATTTTGAACGGTTTCCGCAATATTTATAAATCTGCATTTTTTTTTTTAAAATTTTACCCTTTTTTTTCCTTAAGCTGTAGGGCCTATAGGTATTTTCTCTAATATCGTACCTCGCAGACCTTAGTGGGACACCCTGTATATGGAATAACAATACTAAGTATATTATTCTTAAACTAATTAGTTATATCTCAAAAATTGTAATTTTCGTAGTATTCATTATTTGTCATCATCTTCATTTCCTGTTGTACTTTTGCATTATCTACATCGTAGTGAGACACAACAATATCAATAAACCGCATTAACGTCACAATAAACAGTAGTCGCGTTTCCTGCTAGAAAGATTTGAACGGAACAATTTATTAATTAGACGACATTAAGTTAAACGTTGAAAAAATTTGCGCATAACCTCGAGACAAGCCAAAGTCTAACTCTTGCAATTTTTTAATGTCACGCACATGATTCAGTAAATCACGTC